CCATTCATTCAGAAACAATTTACTATCAAGCAGTTTCTGAATGGGGAGGAGCCTCTGTACAGAGTGCTTCTCCCCATTGGGAAACTCATGAATGAACAAGAAGTGATGTCAATCACATTCTGTTCATTCATAACTGGGGACACATAGTACTATGTGTCCCCAGTTATTTACAAAGTGTTTGTCCTGCACAGAGGTCTGGTACATATCACTCATATGTACCGATCCTCTGCCGCTCGGCCACGCACAAAGGGGGGCTCTGAATCTCCGCTGCTTTCCTGGGCAGAGGCAGCGGGGGATCCGAGTAGAAGTGAGGAAGGCACTGCAACCGCGGGGGTGGGGGGGGATGGAGTCGGAGGACGGAGCCGTTGTCACAGCAGCATGTGCGGTGAGGAGAGAGAGAGCCGGCGGCTGTCAGATACAGGCCGAGCGGCTCTCTCTCTCTCCTCACCGCTCGGCGTGCTGATGATGATAGCGGCTCCGACCCCCGCCGCTGCCTGCAGTGCCTCGTTCACTTCTCGGATCCCCGATGCATACAGATGGGGGAGAGCAGCGGGGATCCAGAGAAGCCCCACGTCAGGAGGACATCGCTATCTACCAGGGATTGCTTTGCGATCAATGGTAGATCTCGATCGACCTAATGGGCACCCCTGATTTATTATATTGCTGGTTCGGCAATATATTAAATAGAATCTGGGCACCTGCCAGGTTTAAAGATGGCTGCCGCGATTCGCAGCGGCCATCTTTAAAAACTTAACATGACTTTACAGTGACCTGCACCTGGAGTGTACGGGTCACTGTAACCTGGACCTAGGCTCGCATGGCTACCAAAGGGGCCTCTGCGTGCCATCTGTGGCACGCGTGCCATAGGTTCGCTACCGCTGTTCTAGACAATGCTGCAGGAAATGATCAAGTAAATGTAACTATTGCTACATTGGAGATCCCAGTAGTAGCAATGGTTACATTTATTCAGGATCTTCATAGCAGCAATGGTTACAATTATCCAGGGATCCCTGCAGTAGCAAAGGTTACATTTATCCAGGGAGCCCCGTAGTATTAACAATGGTTACATTTATCCAGGGAGCCCCGTAGTATTAGCAATGGTTACATTTATCTTTGGATCTCTGTAGTAGCAGTGGTTACATTTATCTCAGATCTCTGTAGTAGCAATGTTTACATTTATCTGTGGATACCTGTAGTAGCAATGTTACATTTATCCAGGAAACACCATAGTAGCAATGGTTACATTTATTTGCTAAAATAGTCTAAGAAAATTTGATGATGCAGTTTCGCTGGATAAATATCTATGCAATTTTTTTCTTAAAAGACCCCTAAAAATGTATCGCTATACTAATATTTTTTGTTTTTGTTTGGATAAAGTGGATAATGTTTAGAAACCCTGTATCATGTACCTGGGGGAGGACCGATTAGCTAAGGAGGCCTCCCTTGTGGCTCTTGTCTCACACACCTGGATGTGGAAACAGGGAGCGAGTGGGCACAGAAAAGCACGGGTGCCAAAGTGTTCAGACACGGTGCCTGGTAGAAGTCCGGCGACTGGGTCCCTGGAAGGATGAGCAGGGCAGGTGCACAGCTGTGATGTCAGCGAGGTTTGCAGCAGAAACTGGAGCGAGGTCAAACAAGCCAGGGGGCAAGCCAGACGGTACAGAAGGAGCAGGCAGAGTCCAGATCACAAGCAGAGGTCAGGGGCAGGCAGCAATCAGTCGAAGTCAGCAGCAATCTGGGTCGAGGTAACAGGCAACAGATCAGCTGAAAGACCGTTCAGCACTGACCCATTGGTCCAGCTGGTTTAAATAGGAACACCTATTAGAGGGCTGTGAGTCACTTCCTGTGTGCCACTGTGTCACTTCCTGTGTGCAACGTTCCGTTGTGAGCGCATGTTTTCCGGCAACCCGGAAGACTGGGACCCGCGCATGCGTAGTAGCGCGTGAGCTCCCGGCTATGGCCTTACACCCTGCCTGGTTGCCTGCGGCACCTGTTACTCCCGGCAGAAAATATGGCCGCATTGCAGGCTATATGGGAATTTACTGTCTTGTGCATGAGCATTAAAGTGCTCATACCTATTAAAAAGTTATATATTTATTATGTATTTATATACTGGTGCCAAGAAGCCTTTTGTTTGTTCGGCATTTTAGGCTAAAGTGGGCTGATTAGTAATATTTCACTATAAGACCGTGAGGCTGTGGGGGAAATATTGCTCCCCATTGTTTTTAATATCTTCTATTTTTATACATATTACATATATAGTATATCTACTATTTTAGTCACCTTTCAGTAAATGTAAACTGCTGAGGGAATTGTACAGACATACCAGTGTAAGAAATAATTACCTCCTCATTAGAACTATCTGGGGAAGAATACAGCAGAGGAAACAAAGATCATTCCCCATACTGATTACTACCTATAAAAAATAGCAAACCTTACAGACTGAAATACATTCATGTTGTGCCGCCATCCAGCAAGTCAAGCATATTATTATTGAATACAGATCAGAGAAAAGACATCTTTTTGGCTATTTTTCTAAGCTCTAATTTTCTTTAAAGGTAATCGGTTACAGGGAATATCTGGGTGAGCAGCCCCCTCATTTTCTTTGTTGACCTTCAGCAATGAAGCTGGACCCTATGCAGCTCTGTATTTGAGCTAACCTCAAAGCAAACAGCTAACTACACACATAACATTTATATAAGGGAGCTGTTTTATCTGTAAAAGGACTTGTAATTCTGTCCAGCTAGTCCTGAGATTGGCACAGCTCTGTTACACAGCACAGCCCTGTTGGGCAGGTAAGGAGACCTGATTTTTCTCTGCTGTGGGCAAGTAACATTTACAGCTCTTGTCTCTTCCCCAGTCTGTGTCTGAACACTGAAAGGAGAAGCAGCAGAGAGGTGAGATCATCTTTCTGTCACTCTGATTTTTTTTTTTCTATCAGCATGATCCTTATTAGCACATGAGCACTGCAGCACTGCCTGGCCAACAAAAAAAAGTCACACAGTCTAATAATTCCTTGGGCCGCCTTTAGCTTTGTCTACAGCACACATTCACCGTGGCATCATATTGATAAGCTTATGCCATGTCACAACATTTATCTCCATCCAGAGTTGCATTAATTTTTCATCAAGACCTTGTAGCGATGATGGGAGAGTTGGACCACTGTGTAAAGTCTTCTCCAGCACATCCCAAAGGTTCTCAATGGGATTAAGGTCTAGACTCTGTGGTGGCCAATCCATGTGAAAAAAAACCTCACCACTCTTTCACAATTTGAGCCCGATGAATCCTGGCATTGTCATCTTGGAATATGCCCAATGTGCCATCACGGAAGAGAAAATCCATTGATGGAGCAACTTGGTCATTCAGTATATTCAGGTAGGCAGCTGACCTCATTTTTGGGGCACATAACATTGCTGAACCTAGACTAAATATCCAATGGAAGGCTCTGACCTATTTTGTTAGCTAAATCCAGGTGGCGACTTTTTTTTGCACCATGCAGTGTAATTGGCTCCTTGTGCTGTAGGATGTATACTGTACCTTCTTAATAACCAGCTCAAATTCAAGGTTCTTTACTTGTATTTGCTTTTAGTATTTGGGTCCAAATTTTGGGCCTGCAGCAGAAAATAAGGTATGCCCTAATAAAATTCTGATTCTAAAGTAGGCTGAAGTAGCAAGTCAGAAGGAGGTCAACTGCAGGTTTAATACAACTGTCAATGTATTCTGAATGATCTCAGGAGCTTCTCAAACAGATGCCAAACGAATGCAAAAGACAAAAGCCCAACAGCACAGGCCCCAAATATTAACTGAAGGAGAATTAAAAAATGGAAAGTGAAAAGGGGAGTTGGGTTCCAGTATACAACAAAGGATGCAACAAGGAAGTTAATAATGTTATCCTGGAACAAAGTATTTGTTTGTCATATCAAATATAAAGCGATTTTTTTATGTATATTTTCGATTTTTATTAATTTTTTATCAAATATAAAGCGATTTCCGTTCATCTAGGTCAGCCTTTCTCAACCAGAGTGCCTTCTGGTTTCCTCAGGGGTACCTCGAAATGTTCACACAGTGACAATCTGATGTGAAGTGGGGCTCCTTATGTGAAAAAGAAGAACTCTGATGTGAGTGAGGGGGACTCTGATGTGAAGAGGGGCTCCTAGTGTCATTCAGGGCACTACCCGGATCCCCATACACTTTTTATGGCCAATAAATTGCATATAAGGCTTCAAAATGGGGACCTTTAATTTTCTGAGTTCTACCCCCATAGACTTGCATTGAGTTCTAAGTTCGAGTTAGAACTTTTTCCATGTTCGAAAGTTCGAGTTAGAACCGAACACGGGGGTGTTCGGCTCATCACTATGTATGAGGAGATCACTCTAATGTGAAAGGAGGGGGCTGCTAATGTGAATGGGGGCTCCTGATGTGGGGGGGGGGGGGAGGCTCTGATGTGAAGGAGGGAACCCCATAGTTTTTCTTTTGTTTATTGTGTGGGTTCCTCCTTAGAATTCATACCAGACCTCTATCTTGGTTGAGGGTCTGGTATGGATTTTGGAGGGACCATACTTTTTAAGAGTGCAGTGAGTAAAAAAGGTTGAGAAATGCTGATCTAGGATCATTAATGCTGAAGTATTTATTTTTGGGTTCCATCACATGGGTTACCTGTGTTGGTGTGTATCCCTCATTCAGCCTGTTGCTTCATGTCAACATTTTCCCTGCATACTGCTGAATACACCCCAGAGTGACTATCTTCCAGTGCTCTGAGGGTTAAGACCAGTGACTAACAATGTACTGGAGTGCACTGCTTGCCCACCTCTTCCTACCCCTTCTCCATCCATAGAGCTTGTGCTACTATTGTTCCACCATGCAACAGGCTCTGTGAATGGGCAGGGCTGATCCTTTAATGCATCCGCTTCTTCTTCTACAGTCACTCCTTGTGACTTGGAGTCTATTGGTGAATGGAGTAAATGTAATATTGTCATTGATATTTTTTTAACAGGATCACAATGAGTTTGGTAAACCAGAGTTCTGTACAAGAGTTCATTCTTTGTGGCCTAACAGAAAAACCCAACTTACAGATTGTGCTCTTTGCCCTCTTCCTATTATTGTACATCTTCACCATACTAGGAAACACTGGGATTATGGTTATAACGAAGGTTGACCCAAGCTTGAACACACCTATGTATTTTTTTCTGCATCATCTCTCTTTCTCTGATCTCTGTTATTCCTCTGTAATCACTCCAGAGATGCTGGCCAACTTTTTCCGCCAACGGAAGTCCATCTCCTTTGTTGGCTGTGCTGCTCAGATGTTCATCTTTGTGACATTTGGTGCCATGGAATGTTTCCTCCTTGGTATCATGGCCTACGATAGATATTATGCTATCTGTAAGCCATTTTTCTACTCTGTTGCTATGAATAGCTGCTATTGTATCAAACTTGTAGCTGCTGCTTATGTTGGCAGTGTCATAAATGCTTTGGTTCACACCATAGGAACTTTCTCATTGAGGTTCTGCAAATCCAACGTCATCAAGCATTTCTACTGTGACATCCCACCTCTTCTGAGTCTTTCCTGCTCTGATACAACCATTAACCAATTTCTACTAGTTATTTTTGGTATCTTGACTTCATGGTTCTCCCTTATCGTAATCATCATCTCCTATGCCTACATCATTTCCACTGTCATCCAAATACGATCCAACCAAGGTCGGTTTAAAGTCTTCTCAACATGTGGTTCTCATTTCACTGCTGTCAGCATGTTCTATGGAGCCCTATTCTTTATGTACTTCCGTCCTGCAAAGAGTTTTTCTGTGGGGCAGGACAGTGTAGTCTCAATATTTTATACTATTATGATTCCCATGTTGAATCCAGTGATATACAGCCTTCGGAACCAAGACGTCAAAGAGGCACTGAAAAAAAACATTCAAAGGGTTGTTTGGTATCATTGAAAAAGATTTATTAAGATGGCCACACAGATTACAATCTCCTTCTTTTAGGTTTAATAAATATGTAGTGGGAAGGTTTAAGTCAATAAACCATTAAATGAATATCCAATCGATAAATCAATGGGCAGCAATGAAAAATGTAATTAAATTAATGAGCAGTAGCTAGGTGGTTGGCGCCCCTACCTTACAGCACTAGGGTCCTTGATTTGAATCCTAACCAGGACACTACTTGTGCTTCAGTGGGTTTCCTCTAAGTGCTCTGGCTTCATCCCACACTAGCAGGTTAAATGGCTCCTGTCTAAATTTGTCCTAGTATGTGCTTGCGTGTATGTATGCATGTGAAATCAGGACACTTCAATTGTAAGCTTCTTGAGGCAAGGCCTGATATAAATGAATAGTATGTAAAGTGCTGTATAAAATTGTTGGTTCCTGTGTGTAATGTGTAACAAAAAGGTGACCTCCACCAGCGCAGGACCTGCACAGGGTTTCACAGCTTACCCATTCACTATTGTTATTTGGTACACACAGAAGTCAGCAGAGGAAGTCTTCACTAGTTGTGTCTTCTGTGGCTGTGACAGATGACATCTCATGCAGAGCGTGTCAGAGGAAGCGAGTAGTGGAAGACTTCCTTTGATGGCTTCTGCATTTACAAATGACAGCAGAGATTGAATAAGCTGTCACATTCTGTGCAGGTCCCACACTGGTCGAGGTCTGAACGGGGTCAGGCTGAATGGCAGAAGCAGAAGTAAGCCATTTTTAAGGTATTTTGTAATTGCTCTCCACTGTCTCACTCTGATGTTGCCTTTGCCACAACTCCTTGTTTCATATGTCATGCTGTACATACTCTTCTGCAAACCCTCATTCTGTATGCCATGCTGTATATTTCTTATCTCCCTCATTTCATATGTCGTGCTGTACATTTCTGATTCTGCACCCTCTCATTCCATATGCAATACTGTACATCTCCTATTCCACAGTACCTCTTTCTGTATGCAATGCTGTTCATTTCCTATTATGCACCTCCTTATTCCATGTGCAATGCTATATATCTCCTATTCTGCACCTCTTATTCTGTATGCAATGTTTTACAGCTCCTATTCCGCAGTTCCTCACTCTTTATGCAATGCTGTTCATTTCCTATTCTGCACTCTCTTATTCTGTGAGCAATGCACCCCCTCATTCCATATGCAATACTGTACATCTCCTATTCCACAGGACCTCTTATGATTCCCATGTTGAATCCAGTGATATACAGCCTACAGCTACAATGCTGTACATCCCTATTCTGCACCCCCTCATTCCATATGCAGTGCTGTACATTCCCTATTCTGTACCCCCTCATTCTATATGCAGTGCTGTACATTCCCTATTCTGTACCCCCCTCATACCATATGCAGTGCTGTACATTTCCTATTCTGCACCCCCTTATTCTGCGTGCAAAACTGTACATTCCCTGTTCCACACCCCTCCATTCCATATGCCCCCATGCCATGACCAGTGGCAGGACTAGAGTACAGTTGTTGGCAGCTGTCAGTTCTGACAAAATCCACTTCCAGGATCTCTGGAGGAAGTGGCGATTTCTGTCTCCTGAAAGCACCTCTGCGGCAAACGGGTGCAGGCTGTGTCCAGATGGAGAGCTAGTCTACTCTTTTTGAAGATACATTCCCCTTTTTAAAACCTAAGGAGCAGTGAAAGAGCTACAGTATATATAACACTGTTGTGGGCAAAAAGCAACAAGGGAACATGAATACTGAAGTGGGCAAAAACAGATAGAAAAGTGTAAAAACAATCCAAAAATGCTTTATAATGTAATTCCCAATATGTATTAATATGGTAACTGAACATATAAAAAATATGAAAAAGAATTGATCTGTATAAAAAAACAAAACCTCAATTTACTGTATAAATAATTGGGAAATAACTGGGTTTGGCCACTAGAGGGGGATAATCATATAGAAAGCTGCCTTGTCCTCAATGAGTAAATACATTGTAACAATTTTTTTTGTGCATGTAATTTTTATTGAATTTTCAAAGTATACACAATAAGAACAATTGTAGTAGTATAATTGTACAATAGAGGTACATACAGATCATCTATTCATGGCAACAAGGTTGGATTACTAGATTTGTCCAAGGGAAATCAAAAGAGAGCACCAACTCTGTCAGCAGTATGTACCAATTTAACACACAACATAATAACAAAATAACAAAAAGTGGTTGTCAATACATGAAATAAAAGAAAAGAGAAGAGATATTGCTTTACCATCACTGGCGATTGTACTTGTAGTCTGAGTCTACCATGGCTGGGCGGGACAACTCGAATGTCAAGGGGTACATTACGGGAACACAGAAATAGGTAGAGATAGAGGGCATATTAGGCAGGGGTTATGCTACTGGTTCTCCAATTAGAAGTTCAGCCCTTGCGGGGCTATAGAACATCCAGGTAACAATCTTAATAAGTAAAGAGGAAGTGGGCAATGATGATTGACTTCTATAAATTGGCAATGAGGAATAGGACTATAAAAAATTGATATAAAACACCAGCTATAAATCACATGATGTATAATAGAATGAATACTGAAAACACCATAAAAATGATAATGATGATGATAATAATAATAAAAAAGAAAAATTACGGAAAATTGTTATCATACTTACCGTAATTTTCCTTTCCTGGCTCCTCCTCATGTCAGCCTACTGTGGGTCATCTCCGCCCTCTTGATTTTTTTTTTCAAATGCCCCAGCCCACTAGCCGGAGCGAGGACGAAAAAAGAACATAGGAGGTAAGGGGAGGCCACCTTTTATTCTCTAGTAGGGAGGTCCTACGGGGGGTCAAGAGGGCGGAGATGACCCACAGTAGGCTGACATGAGGAGGGCCAGGAAAATAATATATGATATGCATGTATCTCATATATATGGATAAAATAATAAACTGAACCTTAAAAAGCTAACATATTGTATAGTAATTTCTAAAATAGTGGTTACTTAAGTCCTCATTCAGACCCATAGGTGCTGGTGTATTTCATGTATAGATCCATTAAGTTTCTTGATGACATAGCTCCTTGAATCTTTCTGCTGTTGGACGGTGATGGGAAATAGGTTCTACAGCAAACACTTTTAGCTCATATGTAGTTTTACTGTGCTATAGTGAAATAGCGGGGTACAGTATGGTCACCGCTCCAGCTTTCGATCAATCTCCTGTGTTCCCCAAAACGAGTATGCCGTGATCTAGTAGTGTGGCCTACATATTGAAGTCCACGTAGGAAGGTATGCAGTAAATTACGTATTCATTCAAGTAAATTAAAAATCTTTTATTTTTTCCCATTTGTTTTTCACCATGTGTAATATACTTGCACATTAAACAATTATGTTTTCCTGTATTGGAAGGTCCTGACTATTTGACTGAAAAAGAGGAATATATCTGTTTTTTGTTTATAAAAATGACAGAGAAAATTGTGAGTGATACACCCTTTATCACTCACAGTTTCCAGCTTTTATTCATTTATATAAAACCTTTATCCCAAGGTTACCAACAACACTTTTAAGCCCCTTCGCCTGCGTTGTGGCAATTAAGGATGCTGTGCAGGATTCAAGCAGCCAAAAAGGGCCATTATGTGTCCCCAGCACCGCTCTGGATAGGCCCACAGCTGAAATGTAAAAATTGCTCTGGTCTGTATGGGGTATACAAGTGTGAGAGCTAAATTAGTTAATTGAATTGGTTGGTTGAATTGGTTAACTGATGCACTGTTCACTCCT